TTTCATTTGTATTATTTTTATTTATCACTTCATCTTCTACAACCTAAATTTGCAAATATAAAATATGAACACAAATATTAATATATGTTAATAAATTAAAAAAAATAATGTAGCGTGTAACTAACCCGTTCATCAAATTTTGTTTGGAATACTGCAGGCTCCTCAAAACTGATGTTATTCCATAGATCTTCATTATTCACTTCTTCAACAAACACCTCTGTAGGTTCTCGGTTCGTAAACACATGTTGCTCCAGTGCATGTAGCCGTTTCAACACCTCCTCTAGGTCGGGTTTTCCACTGCGCCCACCTCTACCATGAGAGCGACCATTAGACGACATACTAGACGAAGATTCGTCTTGTCTCCTAAAATGGTCCCGTACTGGGGATGGAACTGATTTCCGTTCACCATATACATACTCTTGAAATGACATATAATAAAAAGATGTCATCTCATCATCACTCGGTGACATTTTATTTCTTGGTGGTTGTCCCTCCTAAAAAATTGAACATATTAAAAATGCATATAAAAGTATAATAATGAATTTTATTAATAATTAAAAAAATTTATAAACCTGTATCTTTGAAAAAATCTTGTTCACATCAACCCATTTCAATTTTTTTGTCCCACTCCATCGTTTCATCCGATGCATGTCTCTATTCTTTCTCAATACAAATCCACAGGCACGAACAGCCGGAAGCATCTCATATATCCATATCTACAATTTTTACAATTATAGTAATAAAAGTTAAAATTAAAATAACTAACATAACAATAAAACCATTTAAATATAAGTAAATTTTTATACCCTAATTGGAGCCGTAAATCCTGAGACAGTGTATTTTAAAGTTTGACGACGCTCAGGAAGTGATAAATATTTATTTATCTTGTTCCATGTATCCTCAAGGTCATCATACGTAAAATCCCATAAATAACTACCCCAAGCGAAACTAACAAAACAAAAAAAATTTAGTTATAATATAAATTAACATTAATAATATAAAACTTTCAAAGTAAACAAAAAATATCTCTTCCAAACATCCAAATTCTCAGCCAAAAAAACCAATCTTGTGGCACGCGATCATTTATTTCTTTTCCTAAAAAACATTCACATAAAATGTAAATCAAAAATACTCTAACTGCATCCGCATCGTCAACTTCTAAGAATGGTTGATTTAAAATAAAACTTTTCAGGTCACCGATTTTCACCGAACTATTTGTATGGTTCGGAAATAGCCGCTCACGCAATAAACATCTTTTTTTACTACTAACTATTTTTTCTGACACTTTTTTCCCGATGTTTTTTGGATACTCCGCAAATTTCAACCCGATTATCAAACAAAACTCTTCCGGCTCATAAACCATTTTCGTATCGCCTACTCTAAAATATAACCGTTTTATTCCATCTGAAGATAAAACACCGTCCGACCGTATCTGATGAAGGAACATTTTGTGGAACAGCAATCCGTCCCCTTGTAAACGAGGGACGTCCAACAAGTAACCAAATATTGTATCTCTAAATATATCACGTCTCACACCATCTAACACTTCAAATCCTTCACATATGTTACACCCCGATCCCTTTAAGTTTACAATAGCTTTCACATCGAAATTATTATAATTATGCTGCAAAAAACACAATAACATATTAGAAAACTAAACAACTATTTCATTTTAAATTATATTATTATTAAATGTAATAATAACATAATAACAATGCAAATACAAATATTTAATAAATAATTTATATATTTACGCTAAAAAACAATAACATACTATAACAATTTTTCAACTTAAATGGCAACTATACAAACAATTTTTCAAGTTATACGACAAATATACAAACGAGTTTTATCTTTCTAATTATATCAAATAACATTTTCTAACCATATAAACAAATAATTTTTCAACTAAAACGACAACTAAATTAACAATTTTTCAACTTATACGACAAATATACAAACAATTTTTAAGTTTCAAATTATATAAAATAACATATTCTAACCAAACATATTGAAAACCACTAACCAAACATATTGTAAACATTATTCTAACAATTTATTTAACTAATAACTTAAAAAAATAAGCATATTCTAACAATTTTACTAAATGTACAACTACCCGATGCACACTCTACGCAGTCTCTACTTGTACATTCATACAACCACTAACAAAATAGCATTTAAACTTCAAGTTTAGTAATAACAAATATTAAAACTATCAAATACAACAAAATTATCCTATCACAAACAATATAATTTCTTTTTTTTACACTAACTAATACAATAAATAATAAAATAATAAAGATATATACTAAATAAATGTTAATTAAAACATAAAAAGAGTTAAAATCTAACCATATTTTTGGGATTGTTGAACTAATCGTCCATTTTCTTCAAGAAATCGTCAAAATGAATCCCCGAGAGAGAGAGAGAGAGTTTTTCTATATTGAAGAGTGAAAAATGAGGAAAAAAAAATCGTTTTATAGAATTTCATGCGCAAAATCGCAGGTGAACAGTGTAAATCGCAGATGGACTTTTCCATCTGCGAATGTACAAGTACCTAAAGCACAACTGTGCTTTAGGTACTTGTACATTCGCAGATGGAATGTGCAAATCGCAGATGGACCATTCCCATCTGCGATTTTCATGGCTATTTTTGCAATTTCGATTTTTTTTGGCTATTTTCCGCAAAGTGATTAGGATAATTGGCTATTTTTGTCATTTTCTCTTAGATATATAAATATTGGAGTTAATTATCTGAATATAATCATACAATGTCATGTAATAACTTTTAAGACACGCATCCAAACATCTTCAAGATGTATTATGAACATGAAATTGTATAATGGAGACCTCAGGTTCAAAATTCATGTAAACACCCTTGATCGTTTATGTTCCGTGATTTACTTCGTACATAATAGCCGTAATCGGGCGTTATATAAGAACGACAGTTTTATAGTTTACCAATTTTCTCATTATCGAAATAAAAGGATCAATGGAAAATTGTGTTTAACCTACCGAATAAATGGGACACAAATAGTTCCTCTAATCATTCATATTTTGTCATGATAAGTAGTCGCTAAATAGATAATTATGCAAAACATTTTCCACTAATCATACATACTGGCAATTATTCATTATTTTATGTTTGACAACACATATTCGATTCGTTATTACCTTAAAATTCACACAACCAATATTCAACTTTTAAAAGTCAAATCTTTCTGTTTAAGTTTTATATAAAAATAAATATTAAACTCTTAAAAGTCAAGTCAGGATTTTTGTTTAAAATTTATATCAAAGAGAAACAGTTGCATAAGAGATGTACATTATAAAAGTTGCACATTATTTATATTTTCATAAATAGACTTTTAATTCATACATTCATACATAAATACATACATACGTACATTCATTCATACTTGTGTACATAGTACGTACGCACATATACACATGCACATACATATACATGCGTACATACGTATCGCATGCACGCACGCACACACAAACATACATATGTGTGTATAGAAAAAAAATTCAAATATGAACCATAAAAAAAACTCAACCTGCACGTGAAAGTTTCATTAGAAACTATTCACAAACATTCATATTTTTGCAACTTTTCGCACACTAAGGGTTTTGTTTTTTTGTTTTTTTGGAAACCATACACAATCATTTACAACATTTACAACATTCTCATTTGAATATCCAAGTCAACCTCAAGTGTCCCGACCATACAAGTGATAACCCATCCTAGTGGCAGGGGCGGACACAAGATTTCTCAGTAGGGATGCACAGGAAAGTTAGAGGTTGCACAATAGTAGAAAAAATAAAAAATTTAAAAATTTTCAAAAAATTTTCCACTATGGCCGGAAAAGTTAGGGGTTGCCGGTGCCACCGGTGATCCCCTAAATCCGCCCCTGCCTAGTGGATGCACAAGTTCATAGTCAAAATCTCATTTCCAAACAAAATAGTTTGTCCCTATTTTCAAAAACTCTTTACAAAAACATTCCATGAAGGCACGTCCATAACATATAGTATCTCGAGTAGTAAATGCACATAATAGTTCAAATCAAAGAAAGTTTGAAAATGCAAATATGTAACAAAGAAATGTTTACTTACATCAATTGTTGCATGTACACTACTTCACTTCTAATACCGTTTGGTTGTCTATTAGTCACCTAAATATCAAATAAATTATGTATTAGTTGTTAATTACTTTCTAGATAATTAAACTAAAGTTTATAAACCTAAAATGCTCATGTTCCATCATTCATAAGCTTATAGAAAATAGTGGAGGTATGAAATACTTGGCCGAGTGGAACTGTTCTATGATTCCACTCTGTCGAGTGAAATGTCATGACCTCATGACCATCGATATCGCTAACTATCTTTTTTTGGATCTATAATACTTCCCCTCATGTCCACTTTACCAATGACAATCGTACGAGAGACTTCATCGATAATAGAGAACCCGTGTCATTCTTTATTCATGATGAGTTTGACGTAATAGACCTTAAAATTTTCTGATCAAGTAATTCGAAAGAAATAAGCTCCTATATATTATTTGTCTTTATGTTTACATTTTTTTTGTATCTGACACACAAATTATTATTCAATAGTTATATATAACTAAATTGTACCATAAATGTACACAATAAATTTCTCAACAAACAATTCAATTAAAAAGCCATATTAAAAATACATAATAGAATAGATGGTATGAAGCTCTGTCGTGCAAAAAACATGAAGAAACATATTTTTTTAGTAAACAAATATTTACATATCTTTTTAATATCTTTTATAAAAAGTAACCCAACAACCTTTTAGTTAATAATAATAATGAATCACCTTTGAGCACTAACCGTTTTGACTATGATTGAACAACCAATATTTTTCTTACCCATAGTCTTATTGTCATAACCAAATTACACATTTATCAAATTTATCAAATAAAATGACATTATTTGATCAAGCATCATTTCAATTTTGTATTTCCAGAAACATTCAAATGCACTTCAACCTTCCAACAATACGGAAAACAATTCATTTTGTCTTCAAATGGCTACAAAATTATTACGAGTAAACATTTGGTGAGAAGACCATCGTCATCATTGGGTGGAAATGGAATGGTGACAATTATTGGCATCAAATGCTTATTGGGATTCGCACTATTGCTGAATTCCAAGATCTGCACAACCAAAAAAGTTTACAAAAAGCTAAACCTAAATTATTCATTACACAAATGCAACTGTCTTTCTGATTCCTCATTGGCCAGAGCTCCAATATTGTATTAGATTAGTATACATACATGATACAACCCCCTTCTTTCAAATTTCAACCACTAACATCAGAGTCTTAGACATATACAAAGAGAAATGGAAGAGGGTTTTGTTGTTGTATCATTGTATGAGTGCGCGCTAAGCAACAAAAAGCAAAAGTAATCAACAGAAATGTGTGTTTAGTGAGTGATGAGCGAAAAAGGCAACAGAAGCACCCAACTTTGTCAAAAAGTTTATACATTAGGAAACCCCTTTCTTTTACTATCAATTTACCCACAGCTTTATCGATTTTTGGGTGCATACTTCCTCTTTGTTCGTCATTGCCAGTCCCGCGTTTTTTTTTTACCATGAAATGATGAGGTGATTTGAAGGTTTGATTGCTGAAATCTGTAGATAATAACGGAAGAGATGAAGATTCGTTGGGGGTATGTTGTAATTTGTTCGATTGGGGTTTAATAAGGTATTTTATGCATCGATTTGGCGGTTATATTTGATTATTGGTGTTTATGATATCCAAAATAAGTCTTTGATCTGATTATTATGGGTTTTTGATATCGATCAAGGAATCTAGGGTTTTAATTTGGGGTATACGGATTCATAACTCGACGCAACTTCAATATTCTTTTCTCTATCGATACCTTCTTATCTATAGAATCTTCAAGCAACAACCAAAAAGTATTAGAGGCTTTAATGGCTGCTTAGTATTATTGCGCCATGGATACTGGTTTTCACTACAATAGAACCTTGAGCTCTGGTCTGAATCGACATGCCATATCCTTCCAAACAAGTGCAGTAGCCAGCACATCGGAGATGATGATGATGGGTGATTACTATCCAATGAACAGTACATCAACACTAGGCACAAGGTTTTCAAACTGTGATATAGCAAACAGCAGTTCAGGGTTTACACAAGCTGGGAATCCGAATTCCTCTGGTTCTGTTCTTGCTGATTCCATTCCAGGGTTGAAGCATGATGCAGGCTTGGCTGTCGAATGGTCTGCTGAAGAACAACATAAGTTAGACGAAGGGCTTTCCCAGTAAGTGTTTTTCATTCCTAATTTTCTTTCAAACCCCCATTTCTTTGCTCCCTTTTCTTTCTTCTTTTAGATTATATGAATATGATCCTGTACATTATATGTAGATTTGCTGATGAACCTAGCATCATGAGGTACATCAAGATCGCTGCCACATTGCGTGATAAAACTGTTCGTGATGTTGCTCTGAGGTGTAGGTGGATGGCTGTGAGTTTTTTTACTCATTTTCAATAAAATCTTTATTGGCTTTCATTGATTAAAAATTCATCTTTTTACACTTTCAAATTGCTAACAAGATTATATAATTGGCAGAGGAAACGAAGGAAACAGGAAGGACTAAATATGGGGAAAAAGTTGAAAGATAAGAAGGTATACAGTATACTTATGCAACCATACATTTTTTATAAAAATATCTTTTAGCATAAAAAACAGCATTCTGATTATGATATATGATATGTTTTTAGGATACTTTGGTGGAATCATTTACAAAGCCAAGTATATCATCAGTTCCAACATTAAATGTGGCTCCATTTTCTGTTACCATGAATAATCATGTCCAGATTGACAGTATTACTTTTGAAGGTATGGATAAATATAGTTCATAGCTGAAAATTATCATTTCTTATATTTACATTACTTGTAGGTTTTTAGGATATATTTCTAACACAATGGATTTATCATTTATTTACTAATTGATGCAGCATTAAGTGGCTCAATAAGGAATTTACTAGAACAAAATAACCAAGTTATTGGTCAGATTTCAGCTAATATTTCCTCAATGAAAGTAAGTCTTTCTTCACTTTTCCAAACATATGTTTTTTCATCATCTGAATGGACTTATCCTTTCCTTTTTACAAAACTTAATCTAGTAAACACTTTTTTATCTGAGGAAAAAAAGAAAAGAAAAGGGCCTAACTTTTTATGATTTTGAATCTGTATTTAAAGCTAATTCTTTATATTTATCCATCACTTGTTTCATGAGTAGCTGCAGGACAATATCGACCTTTTCAACCACATGAAGAATAATATAACTACCATATTAAACAAGTATGACAATAATTCTTTCTTTTTTCATCTATCTATTCACTTTATTTGTGTTAATTTGGCGTTTATTTTTATAAAAAAAAAAATGCAGTATGAGGTATATGCCTGGGCCACCATTCCCTGTATCACTAAATGAAGATCTTGCTCATAGTATTTTACCAACATCAAGTCAGGTAATGAAGTTTGAGTTATAAGTTATAAAAACAAGTAAAATTGTAAAAAAAGAAAATATAAAAAGAAATTATGTTTGTTGATACTTTCAGACAATGATGTTTGAGGGATCAGGTGGGATGTATATGAAGCAAGAACCAGGGTTTTGATGTGGGAGTTTGGTTGCAAAGTACAAAATTAAAGGTGATGTAAATTTAAAATAGGTTCACTGTATTGATTGCCTATTCGGGTTTAAATCCAATGATATAAAAAAGAAAATTCGTAGAGATCACATTTTTGAAAAAAAAAAATTTAAAATGTTTAGGTCATTTGCTTATGTTTACCCTTTATAGTCTATACAACAACAAAGTAGGCCCCCAAAAATGTACTTTTTGTTCCTCGTGTTAGACCTAAAATAAAGATCTCAGTTTGTAGAGATTTTAGCTCAAATTAATAGGATGACTGATGACTTGTTGTTCTTCTGGCTTTTGGTGAATTAGTAATTGAAAGTTGTAACCTTCTAATTGTTTTATGATATGGTGCTCAAGAAGAGGATGAAATGGATGTTTTTCTTTGGTACGATTTGAGTAATTGGATTTGATTTGTTTTGCATTGATGAAAAACATGATCAATTTGGTGAAGAAAATGCAACATAAACATCTCACACATAAAACAATTGTCATGACTTCACTAAAAAATTGGTGGGAAGCATTAACAAGCAAAAAAAAAAGTTTAGTAAGTTAAAGAAGTCTTGGAGTTTTAATGCAAAATAGTGACTTATTTGAAATCTAAGACAACTACCTTCTTACTATTTGTCTAATATTATAATTGAATTAGGTGAAAATCCGTGGGAATAAAACTAGTAGGAATAAAATTAAAATTATGATATATATAATCCATTGATTACAATAATATATATATATATATATATATATATATATATATATATATATATATTAGAAAATTTTATATCCTTGTTATTAATTTAGAATTAATATTTTTTATACTAATCATTGCATTAAATTGTTTCTTACTAATATTTAGTTATTTTTTTATATGTTATTAATGTTACCCATCACTTCCTAGCAAACATTTTCATTATTTCGAATGTTAGTTTTATTGATAAATTATAAAACAACAAAAAATAAGTTTCAATTGGAAATTAGAAACTTAAGAAACAATATTAAAATGACAAACAAAAAAATAAACTTTAATAATAAACAAAACAATAAATGATAAGTTTCAATTAGAAATTAGAAAATCAAGAAACAATATTAAAATGACAAACAAAAACATAAACTCTAATAATAGAAAACGATATGCAAAAAACAAAGAAGTTTAACATAAAGAAAGACATAATAATAATCTATTTGATGAAAATGTCTATCAAACAACTATATTATTGCTCATGTTCTATCCTTTGAAGTAAAACTTGATGTCTTCTTAGCTTTTTTTTCCCAATCTTATTCTTTAAATCCTAACAATCTAATGTAGATTCATGAACTAAATATATACATTCTAAATCAACCAATTAATATACCATAAGTTATAAAAACTCTTGAGTTATAATAGTTAATTAGTTGAAAACTAAAAAGTTTTAATATTAAAGTAAAATTTAATACAATTATAAAAAACCTTTTGATATGTAGTAATTAGATGATAAATTGAAAAGTTGTAAATTTTAAATGAATATGGTTAACGTATTTTGACATCTTTTATACTACACACACACACGCACATATATATATATATATATATATATATATATATATATATATATATATATATATATATATATATACACACACATAAGTTGAGAACTATATTACATTATTTAGTCATTTTCCCCACAATAACCCTAAGCATAGTTTTTTTTATTCTGTCACATCAATTTTCCGTTAACTTTATCAAACATAAACCTATTAACTTAAATCCTCTATTTTGAAAAGTTATTTTTCAATAACTAACTAATCTATCCTTGTCTATATATAATACTATACGAATGTCTGTGTGTTGCGCAGAAACACCTATATAGTTGAAGTCTTTACAAATATATGTTTTTTTTATAAATATAATAATAACGCTGTTGTTAAATTTGATATAATAATTCGTATATTAAATTTGTATAATATATTGATTATTTTGAATTATATCATAGTATATACATCTATTATAATTGCATAATCTCAATCGTTTGAATGACTTTTACCGGTGAGTTACAAAAATTAAATATAATATATGGTTTAATGTTATTTATAGTTGTTGTTATTGTTAATTAATTTTTTAATTTTTTTTTGCTTAATGTTTTAATTTCTATCATTATAATTATTTAAAACATTAAACATTGTTTTTTGATTTTAAAGGTAACAATATAATCATTTATATAGAGTTATTTTTAACTATTGTTATTGTAAATTATTTTAAGCTACTTATTTGAAAACTTTTAACGATTATAAAAATATATTTAGGAAATATTTTAGTTAAATTGAGATTACAATTTAGTTTTTGCATTTTTTTTATCACTTTTAACTATTTATAAAATATTCTTTTGTTTTTTTAAATGAAACTGAAATTTATATTTAAGTTGATACTATAATGTTATATTTAAATTAACAATTTAAGTTTTTTGTCCAAACTGCTCAAAAGTTATAGCTTTAAACTAATAATGATTTACATACAACAACATTTTAAATCTAATAAATTAAGTATAATATGTTAAAAGTTAAAGACATAACTTTATAAGTAGAAGTAAAAATATTATTTTAAAACTGAAATTTAGTTTATTTATTATTACACTTCATGTTTGATATTTATTTAACTTTATTAACCAACTTATAATCATTATTAGAAAGACACTACAATTTATCACTTTTAACTATTTACAAAATATTTTTTGGGTTGTTTAAGTTAAACTAAAATTTATATTTAAGTTGACCCTGTAATGTTATAGGGCGTGTTTGACACAGAGCTTTTGGAAGCGTTTGGAAGCTTCTAGCTTTTAGCTTTTGACAAAATGCTCTATTTTAAACAAAAAAAGCTTCGTTTGGTAGTACGAGCGTTTAACTTTTAGTTTAAACAAAACGCTCCAAATCTAAAAGCTACTTAATGTAGCGTTTAACAAAACGCTACTGAGCTTTTGAAATCAATTTCCATAATTACCCTTAAAAATATATTTATATATTTATTTATTTTTAATCGATTGTCCTTTTATGTAATTTTATATATTTTAGAAGCTTCCAGCTACTTTTGCCAAACACTCATATAACAAATAAAAGTTACAGCTTCTCGTTACCAGCTACCCGCTACCCGCTACACGCTACCCGCTACCCGCTTCCAACTAACAACTACTTTTGCCAAACACGCCCATATTCAAATTAATAATTTAAGTATTTTATACAAATTGTTCCAAAATTGTATATTTAAAATGATAATGGTTTACATCCAACAATATATTAAAACTAATAAATTAAGTATAATATGTTAAAAGTTAAAAAACATAACTTTATAAGTAGAAGTAAATATATTAAATTTGTCATATCTAGCCTTATCATGTCGGCGTTACATCGGGTTTTATTAGTTTGGTTATGAATTGTGTTTAATTGATCGCAACATCTATCATGTTAAAGTTATGATTTTTATTAGATATTGATGAGTTATGTGTAGTTTACATGAAAAATCTGATCGCATTGACTTGAGTCTTAACTAGTTTATGTCTATAAATTGTTAAGACTAGAGATCGAACAAATTTTAGGGTTAGGTAATATTAATTGGTTATTTTGATTGTTTTAGAGAGTTTAGATATCCATGCTATTCTTCGATTGATTGTCATGACCATTTATGAGAAATCACTAGATCGTGTCTTTCATATTTCGAATATATATTAAATTAATTATGTGTTCACTAATTACATGATCATTATGTTAGTTGTTCATTAATTAATAGTACTAGAAAATCCGAACAAGATAACTACTCGCATTAGAATTCGATAACCAACTGATAAATCCATTGCACTATTAACGAATTTAACCATGATTTTGAGAAGTAATCAAAATTAAACCAAAGTACCTAAAGTGATTCGTTTTCAGTCATTTTATCTGGTTAATTTAGTATTTGATTTGTTTAAGATTTAATAATAAAAGCCCCATTTTTTCTGCTTTCTTTTATTTAGTATAACTTATAGTGAAAAGTTCTAATATTAATTCACTACTGCTCCTCTTGAGTTCAACATCCTTGCTTATCAAAATTATACTATACTCGATCAGGTTCATTGCCTGTAAGGTGTGGTTTAGATGCGATAAACTAAGAATAATAAATAATTAATGCATTAAAAACACACACCGATTATGCTTTACGATCAAGGTTGGAGCCAACCAAAAAATAACACATACTAGTATACATGAGGACGACTATGTTTTTTGTCAGACCCAATCATTGAGGGGACTAGAGAGATCTCTATTGGGAGGGTTTTTACCCTCAAAACACTAGGTAGTTTGTATCATCTCATGAATATTACCCTCAAATCACTAGGTAGTCTTTTCCTTTACCATATATCAAAAAATTTAACAAAACATTGTATACATGATAAATTTCTCACACGAGTATTACACTCAACTTTTTCCCTTGTACTACTCAATGTTTGAATTAATATGCAAGGAACAAAAAAATAAATAAATATGACGCAGTTTGTATATGAATCTATGAGATCATACATTAAATAACATAAATGAGATCAAATAAACAAGATTATTTATAAAATATAATTTTATTATTTACCAACTTAAATAAATGAAAATAAAAATTTATTTGTTCTTTATTTATCAAGCATGGAATAAATCATACATTAAATAACATAAATGAGATCAAATAAACAAGATTATTTATAAAATATAATTTTATTATTTACCAACTTAAATAAATGAAAATAAAAATTTATTTGTTCTTTATTTATCAAGCATGGAATAAATACATAAACATGTTAATATTATTAATAAAATAAAATAATTTAATTAATTGGGAGCCTTATTAATATATAATTAGTTAGAATGAGTTTTAGGGTTTTATTATGGTTGGTAGGAAGGCTTTGAGAAAGCCTATCTACCAAATATTAAAATGAGGATTTTAGTGTCCATTTCTAGTGTAACGTCCCAAAAATAAGACCAAAAATTTTTAATTTTTAAATTGATAAAACGGTAATCCAAAATATCATCATAAAACCAAGATGGATCAAAGTATATCAATACATCATAGAATATAAGAGTAAATCAGAAAATGCGGAATAAGGTGGTGTGTGCTCTGTAATCATCCCATGTTCTTCCCTTTCGAACGAGAAGTACCTGAAACATAAACTTAAAATCGTAAGCACAAAGCTTAGTGAGTTCCCCAAACTACCACATATCATACATAATAAACACATACTGGGCCCCGCCCGGCATCGGGCCCCACACGGTATCGGGTCCTGCCCGGCATCGGGCCCCGCTCGGCATCGAGCCCCGCT